GACAGGGGTTTCGTCGCCGCCGCCGCCCGTGGAGAATCCCGGTGGTCGCAAGAAGAGAAGGGAGAAAGGTCGGTTGGTGATGGCGACGGAGGCAAGCGGACTCCAGGGGGTGGGGATGATGCTGGCGAGAGTGGAGAGCTCACGGTGGCTACCGAAGGTGCGAGCGTGCGTCACTGAGTAGTGGCACATCTCGTGTGCAGGCAGACGTCGGCAATGCATGCTGGAGGGGCACCGTGATGAGAATCTTGTGCCGGTGACAATGGGTGGTGTGTGGTGCCCCCCTTTCCTTGTCTTATTTCCTAGTTTCTCTCTTTTCGCTTCATCCGTTCCCCATCACGTAGCGTAGCTGCGGTCGCGCATTTTTGGGCGTGCCACTGGGGTATAATGGATGCATTTTTTTAGGCATCAACCTTTCTTCGGGTTGTGTCATCTTTGGTAGATGCTCTGGGTTTTCTCCGCCACTACGCACTTCACCGGCATAGGTCATTGACGGAGGAAATCTCTTGTTCACGCGGAAGTGCTGCTGCGCAATCTAATGTACAGGGTTAGACCAAACGTGAACAACCAGCAACAAGAGCACCAAGATGAGCAATGATAAAAGCGCCTCTGTATCTTCTCTCACCACAGCGACGTCATCGAAGAGGAACTCAGCATCGCCGCAGAGGTCCCCGCGTGGGACAGCATCATCGTCGAGAAAGGGATTGGCGGAGGAGGAGACAACGGCAACGACTTCGCCCGAGATAGAGACTCAAGCCTCTTCTTCTTCAGCGGCACAATCGTCGAAAGAACGCCCTTCCTCGTCACCGACCGTCACGGCAGACGAACGAGGGGGATCGAACGAGAGCGGTAGAAATCGGGAAGCAGCGGCTCCCGCGGACGACAACCCAGGACCCGAGTTGCTGCCGGAACAGACGTCGACGGTCGAGGACAGGGGACAACAGGAAACACAAGAAGGACGTGATGCGTCTTCTTCGGCCGCCGGAGCCGAGGGAGAGGCACCCGTCGAGCGCTCAGGAGTCAAGAAGCCAAGCGACGCCGCCTCCTGCGGGAAGCCAAGCGGAGGTGAAGCGAGCGACGGGCCCGAAGCAGACGACGCATCCTCCCCGGTAGCCGCCGCTCGCCAGCCCGCTTCCTTGCAGAGGAGCGATTCCGACCATTCTACGGGCGGGACGCCCGATGCATCGGCGGCGGGGGTGCGCCACAGGAGGCGTTCTTCCGGCGACATCGGGTCCTTCCTCAGGAAGGGCGGCCGTAGGAGACCGGGGGAACCCGCCTCGCCGGCCGCCGCGCCAGCCGCCGAGGCCACCGTCGAAACGGCGGCGGGCCCGTCGTCGTCTGCTCCGGACCCCAGTAGTCCGGTGGAAGGCACGCCTTCAGCACCCGACGTGGGGGGCTCCGCGGTCGAGACGAAGACGCAACGGGCGAGCGTGTTCTCGCGCCTCGGGGCCCCGCCGAGCGAAGCTAAGAAAGACGGCAAGACCCCCCCCTCTGCCGCTAACCCGTCGGGGACCCCTGAGGCCGCCCCCGCTCGGGGACTGCACGCCTGGGGGAGCTGTACCTCCACTGCCGCCGACGGTCCAGCGAGCGGCGAAGGCAAGAACGCCGCCGGTGCTACCGCGGCCTCCGACGATTCACCAGCGCTTGCACCGATAAGGAGAGTCAAGGGCAGCGGGGACAAGCACGACGGGAGGAAGGTCGGGGGAGGGGCAGGACGGCTCATGAACGCCGCCCTGTCCAGCTCGCGTGAAAGCGGGCGAAGCGCGAAGAGGGGTATGGCAGGCGGGCGGGGGCGGGACGGCAGAGGGTGGGGACGGGGCGGCGGAAGCGGGGGCGGCAATGACTGAACGGTGCTTTTTTTGCGTTCGCGTCGAATGTTGTCACAGAGGCGGCGGCAAGCGATGGCGACAAATTTGGCGCAGGGTTAGGCGAGAGAGCCACAGGGGTAGACGGCGAGGGGGGTTCGATCGGCGGCGAGGCCAAAACTAGCTCCCCTGTACTTGGGTGCAAACTTCGAGCCCTTCGGTGTGTTTGGTGTCTCGTGGTGATTCGCGTTGTTCGTGGTCTATACAGTGAGGTGTTGAGATCGAAGTCGGCCAATTGTTGTTTTTGCTCTTGGTGGTGGTTGCGCGTGTTACACCTCTGCCGCTCTGCTTCGGACGACGTATTTTTCGTTGCTGCGCGTCTAAAGGGCGCCTGGTTTTGCTCGATCTTGTTTCAGAATGGAGTATTTGCTAGCCCGGGCGGGTCCTGCGGATGATGCGCCTACGACCTCGAACGACGCAACAGCAACATAGCAAGGGTGATGGCTTCTTCTTCGAGGTGCGTAGGAGGTACATGGAGGGATTCGTGCAGACACAGACGTGCGCGTGCACCTCTCGGGTCCAGACAAGCGACGTATTCCACTGGTTTGAGGTTATCATTACGTGAGCGAGCTCTCTCGATATCCAAGCAACGACACTATATTTGTTTTCTCTCCGGACGATTGTCCGAACAAGGAAAGAGGCCGCCTGCGCTTGTTACGACACGGGCTACTTTTCACGCGGAGATGGCGCTTTTTCTCTTTGCCCCCCCGTCCCCGATCGCCGATGATGGCATGTATCGGTTTGTGCGTGCGCCGGTCGCTGCTCTCGTCACCGTACGTGGGTCTTGCTGGTCAGCAAAGGGGGGGCTCCAACGATTAACCCTGTGTACGAAAGAAAGCATGCCAGATGCCGTCTACCTAAGGTTCGTTTGTGCAACAGCAAAAATAGTCAAAAGCGCATGCTTGCAGGTGGGCTCTCCTCGTCTCTTCACGACGATAACCCCCTCTTCTGCAGCCTCGGTGTATACACTCTTATCGCTTATATTTTATTTCCCCGGCAACACGTAATCCCGTCTGGAACGGGTGCTACAGCAGTACTGCAAGATGCCCTTCGGCCATCGGAGGGACGTCTAGACTTGACGTACGACAACGACAAATAAAAAGAAAGGAAAGCCCTCGGCGAAATGGCGAAAAACTCTCAAGAAAATACACGCGAAAAAGCCATGTGCCCTTGTCTTGGCGCGTTTATTTTCCCAATCCCTCCAGCGTCAAGTCCGTGATGAAAGTGGGGGGAAGCGACAACGAAGTAAGAGGAGTCCAGACAGGGTGCAAACGGATTTCTCCAGTCTTTTAGCCGCGAAAACAAAAAAAGGCGGCGGCCGAAGACCAGCAGAATAATCCCGACGAAAACGCTACTGCTTCCTACCCCCGTAGTACCACAATGATATGAAACGCAAAAAATCCTGCTTTCTTGACCACTGATTCTCCTGCTGCTCCCCGCTACTGCACACAGACACGCAACTAATACCCTGGGAAAAAAAAATGAAATTTGCTGCTTCCGCGCTGCAGCTACCTTCACAAAATTTCCTGCACAAACAACGATGTACTCCTTCGCAGGAGGATCGTCCACGTTGCTACCAAGGGGGCAGCGTGCGAGGGAAGTAACGACTTGGATCACCGCAACGACATCATCTTCGACTATCCGCGCTTGCCGTGCATCGCCTTCGGATGGACTACGCCCAAGAGGGAGTGTCATTGCAAGAACACAAAGAAACAAGCTTTCATCCCACAGGCAAAACAAAATTCGTTCCGTTTTCCTTCGTCGCCTGGTGTTCCCCTTCCTGGACTCCGAGTCTTCAAGCCCGCCCAACACACCGCTGTACGTAAAGAATGGGTGTAAACCGCTGCCTTCGAATACCCACGAGAACCCACAAGACGTCGAGGCTTAGACATCGAACCAACGTCCACTTCGTATCGTAAAAAGGAAAACATCACTGCTTAGTATTTATAGTGCGCCCGCTATGTGCTATGTACCGATGGTGCCAACGGATGTGCGTGCGCAAGATAGACAAGGGACGAAAAAATCGCAGGGAAAAATCAACTGATGGAGAGAAAATACCATCCTCCGTAACACCGCAAAAAAACAAACCGCCTAAGGCCACCTATTGACAGAAACCGGCAAGGTTCCCTCAGCACGCGTTTTCCACTAAAAAACACATGCATGATGGACGAAAGAAACATTCAGGTCACAACCCAGTCCAACATAAAAGGGGGTGCGAGGGTGGAGGGGGTGCTTTTCTACAGTACTACAATCCGTGCATGAAAATCCACAATTGAGTAAACGAGGACAGCAACAGAACAGCCGATCTCGGCGTCCTAACGAAAAGGGGCACGAAGGTTCCGTATCAACAAGTGGGAAGAAATGCATGAAAACAATCCGGATCGCCGAAAGAAAATAAAGAAACAACACTTCAAACGCACCATGTCGGCATATACACGGACGTGTGCACAATGGCACAAGTTTGTGGGCAGATTCCCGCACCCACAAATGCTTGCCAAGAGGTGGGTTTAGGTGACTCCCACAATCTATCACTATCAACAAGTTGCACCGCCGCTTGTTGTGAGAGGCCCGAGCTCAACTCCGGGAGCGTCGCGCAACAGGCCAGCAAGCCTCTGCCTCTGGCCTCCCCCAGCCCCCCGATAGACAAGAAAACACACACCACCATCCTTCGTTATCATGATTTGACCACGTTCTGGCGACCGTTTTCGCCGGAGTGGCACACCGCCGGTAGCTCTGACACCTGGAAGTGCGACACGTCGTTGAGCGTTCGGGGAACGTAGCGCACCCGGCCCTTGCCGCGGCCGTCGTCGAAGACATCCACCACCGCCACCGCGCAGTTCCTCATGAGGGGGCACGCCCTCTCCTCGAGCCCCATGACTGTCAGCATCATCACGTTCAGGATTCCTCCGTGGGACACCACGAGCGCGAGCCTCGCGTTCTCGTCCCTGTGCCTTGCCTCGGCGGCGGCTGCAGCTTCCGCGGCGGAATCGTGGCGGCCGTTTTGTCCCTCGCCCACCCTGTTGACAGTCCCGTCGTCCGCCGCCCGCACGGCGTCGGAGACCAAGCTTGTGAGGAACTGCTGGGCTCGCTTGTGCACGTCCGCCGGGCTCTCGCGCAGGCTCTCCTTGTACGCTACCGGCGACACGCCCGCTGCTTCCGCCTTCATGCGACGCGCTCTGGGCCTTGCGGGGGGGGAGGGGGGGGGTCGTTCGTTGGATGTCCGCGGCAAGTTTGGTCGATCGCCAACGGCCTTACAAGTTTTTACAGTCGGGGCGCTGCTGCAGGCCGATTACCATGCTACTCCAACAAAGACGGCCTACTTTCGAGGGTACCGAAGAAGAGGGGGTGGGCGTTGCTTACATGCTACTGGTACTCCATTACTTGACGCACGATCACATATCTCTCGCTCTATCTCCGCACGTACGAAGGCTTCATCCCACCATACGAGTGCATCGTAGTCGAGTCACTGCCAACCAGATCTCCTTGTGGACACCAACAATAAAGTCAGGGTCTGGACTCGCGTTTTTCGCTGTATCGCCTCTTCAAAGTCGCACACACGCGCGCAAAGCACACAAACAACGAACCGCCGCCACGCACCAGGTGGTTCCACGCGGCAAGCCCTCCTGCGCGCCCAGCGCGAACTCCCTCAGCAGCGGGGTCTTGCGGAGATTCGCTCCCGGGTGTTCCTCAAGGATAATCTCGGCCGTGTGCGACGCCCGCGTCAGGTCCGAGCTGTAGGTCCGCCAGTACGTGTTGCCCCGAAGGCGGATAGCGGTGGCGACCGCTTGGTTTATGCCGATGGGGGTTAGGTCGTAGTCCTGGTGCCCTTGGATAATGCCCTCCCTGTTTCGAGGACACAGGAGTATTAAGGATCAGCTGGTTACCGGACAGGTGAGAGTGAGGCGATTTGTTGCAAGTACGCGAGATATTTGCAGCATAGAGTTGGCCCTTTTTGTTCTGGCAAGCACACGTTTATGGGTGTGTGACAACAACCTTTTTGTTGTTTGAAATATCGCTCGACGGGCCGCTGTAACCCGCCCGATTGCACGCACTCCATGTCTCTGTCTAGCCATCCCGCTGGTGCTGTTGTATTGCACTCGCTGCGTGCCCTTTGTTCGCATAAACCCATCCACGATAATCGTCCCCAGGCAGTGAAGCGAGATGTATACGGTGCTACAGTACCATCGCGCGCTGAGATCTGCGGTCGCGTCAACCATATCTCCGTAGTCATCGGCCGGCGCTCAAGATTATAGTCGCTCGGTGAAATAGTTTGTCGCCAACCATGCGTGCAACCAAGCCCGCAGAAAACCGCACGCGCATAACGAAGTAGTCGCGGCAATACCAAGCATATACAGCAGTTATATCCCCCATATTTCGGATTGACGCCTGTGTGAGGCACTAGACTAGTCTACTCATCTGAAAGGAAAACCTTGACCAAGGTGATCCTACAAAAGGAATTGTCCTTTTTGGAGAATTTTGTGGGTGCGTTCCCTGGGAATACGCAAAGTTGTTCCTGTTGTAAGTCCTGCTGGCAGTTGGACATTTTTTGTGCCGATCCAAACTAGACACAGATGTGCACTTTCCCTCATGTGAAGCCGGCAAGAGATGTATCGATAAGGGAGTGTCGGGGGTACGCAAGTCCGAGAACAAGCCTTCTGACGGAATGGTGCGATGGTTGTGTTAGTGTGAAGACGTGCGCATTGGAATTGGAACTGGGAGCTACAAAGGTGGCTCACAGGTGACACCGGCGGTTGACCTTACATGGCGCTGAGACTTTTTTGCAAAGGAAAAACACCAATTGATTGGTAAACATTCTCCACCGAACATAGCCGCAGAGAGTCCGCTACGCTCTTACACAGAGCTAGGCAGCGAATCGCAAAAACGAGAGTCTGAAGCAAGCGCGAGAGACATGGCAACAAAGACCAAGCCGCCGTGAACATATCGCCAGGTGGGCGGGCAGTTTGCCAGCAACGCGCCATCTACATCAACCCGCCGACACACACGAACCGTTTTTGGGCGGGACGGGGAGAAAAAAGCAGCATTACATTCCACCTTCATCACACCACGAGTGCTTATAGATGCAGCAAGCAGCGAGCGGAGCACCCAACCTTGTCAACCTCTGGGCGATGCCAAACGCACACACACTGGGAAGAAGGAACACATATTCAAGTTGCCCAGTATGATGGCAAAGAACACAAAATTGCGCGGAATCTACGTGCAACAACTGCAGCAAACCGCAGGCACAAGACCGTCAAGCTTACGCAGATCCGGACAAAAAGTGGAGCCTCACCGGTTCGCGGTTGTCTCTCCATGCCGGACGAAGTGGATCGTGCACAGCAGTCGTGGCATCGTTGTCACTACCGGCGGTATGTTGTGACTGGTCGAGACCATGCACACATTCACTCCTTCTCTTTCTCTCTCCCCTGACTTTGGCTGTTTGTTGTGGTGTCTTGTTCTACCCTCTGCCAGCAATTGCGTGTAACTGCCTCGTTTCATTTTCAGGGGGGCGGAACCATAGCTGCGGACCACCCTGAGAAAAAAAAAAAGTCATCACACGAAATCAAGTTTAGCCGCGCTGGGCACCGAGCGAGAGAGTTGGAGATCTTTTACTGTCCATCATACTACAAGTGTCCTACGCTCTTGCTTGTCCCCCCCCCACCCCCATTCATCCCCCAACACAACACCGCCCTCTTTGCACTGAACATCAACCAAGCATTGTGGACGACGACGATGATGAAGCCAACCGCTCGTGGTCCTCTTTTCTTTGGCGTGGTGCTTCTGGTACTGGCCGCCTCCGGAGAGGCTTTCTTCGCGGCTGCCCGTGCTCCCGCCGTCTTCAAGTCCTGCGCTTTCAGGACCACCAATACCAATGTTAACGCCGTCCGCCACAGAGGACCGCAGGACCAGGAGGACCCGGAACTGAGCGTGTTCGACGCGGGCGAAACGCCAGTTTCTTGGGAAGACTACAAAAAGCAGAAGCCAGATGAGTTCAAGGTGTGTCCCAGCACGTGGAAAAATAGAGCCAGCGGATATGTATATGGAGGCCCACAAGAAAACTCAACCTTGAAGTGGTCTAGCCCCCCGGCGTGATACTGCTGTAGATGCGTACGCAGCAGTGGGTACAAGAAGGGCAATGCCGCGGTAATTAGCCAAGATCTGGATGTTCTGGGTTTACTCCTCCTGTTCGTTTGTCTCGTGAGCCTCGAATCCTCAATCCCCCCGTGAGTTCTGGTCTACAAGTGTATCTCCCACGACGTGGAGCAGCGGGCGGGGTGTTGCGGGTAGCAAATGCTCGGTGTGTTATGATAACCCCTCATTGGTGTCCGTCGCACATGCACCTGTTGTGGGTACAGCGCAGGCCTGCTAATAGCGTTGTCGAATGTTGTCACTCAGATCCAACGTGAATCCACGAACAGAAGGAGAGGGGCCCAGACACGAACGGGCGACCCTCTCTTCCAATCTCAAGGGCAAGAGGGTGTCCTCCTCACCTGCGCGAGCAAGGGGGACAAGTTGTCTCTTGCCTTTTCACTCGTGACGGTGGAAAGAAGTTGATTGAAATTGGCCCGCTCTCGTTGGAAGTGTATATGCAGGTAGTGAAGCCCGTTGGTAACAACAACAACGATTCTACATCAAAGCATTTCTGTAGCTCGTGCGACGACTGTAGTCTAGACTAAACCGCCTACTTGTACAACCGAGGTTACACAGCAATTATTTGCGGCACGTCTTGCCCCCCTAATACTTGCGCCTTTGTATCGCGAAAGGATCAACACCCCCCCCCTCCTGCAACCCCGTCCCATTTCTTCAAAACAGCTTGTGAAAACCCCACATCCCTACCACGATCCTTGTCGCACTTCTTGCGGGCTTACATTGCTTTTTCGACTGATCATACGCCAACCTTTGGCCCAGACCACAGTACAGTAGTTATGCAAGTGTATTGTCTGAAGTTCCACAGGGCGCGGTTGGGTTGCGAGACCCCACCATCACCGCTTGTGGAAAAGAATGACCCACTTGCGTTGAGGACCAATGGGAGCCGAAGTGCTAAAGGAGGGTAGACTGAAAAACTAACTGGATCTAGTTCGGCGGAATGGAGGTGGCATCTTCGTGTCCTGCGCCGGGCGTTTTCTCCCGCGGCGGGCCCGTTGTTAGTGGGTTTGCCTTGTATTCTGCCATTCCAAGGCTATCAATTGCAAAACCCACAGCAGTGTTCCGTGGAGACCAACTTGCTTGCTCTACGTGTAGGTGCGCCTCTCATTGTACGTGTCGCAGTCCGCGTGGTACTCCAAATCAGTGCCAGTGCTCCTAAGGGGAGAACCAGAGAGAACCAACCGACTTGTTCAACTCACACCAACGGGGACAATGTTGTACTCTACGACCTACCGTTGTAGATAGCAAAGCAAGAAAGCCGCGTGCCAACACATCTACGAGTAGGTACAATTAGCGTGATGACTCGAGGAAGGAGACCGTGAGAACTATTTCATTTGATCAAGGCCGCCAGCCACAAGTATCACCGCTATCTGCACGTATCCTGCACTTGTTTGTTCTCCGCATTGGCAACACCATTTTTCACGGATCACCGGCACATTAGCTAGACGCGGTGGACGAGATGCAGTGCTGGAAGACGGACGAGTGTCCTGTCGAAGACGAGAAGAAGTTCACCAAGGCCTGGGAGATACGCAGCGCCGAGAGGAACCCCACCATGGAGACGCATTTCGACAGCGAGGTGCGACGACGCGTTGTCGTCGCGGCCTCTCTGCGCATACCTAACACTGCATGGCGGCAGGTGGTAGCATGGTGAATCATTAACTTGAGAACGAACACTTGATTAGCTGTTCGCGAGGCTCGGACTTCCCTCTGATTGTGAGGCGGCAACCAAGGGCACACCTGTACTGCAATTGATTGTCATGTCGGGCTCTTGGCTGACGTTTCGGCCGCCACTGGATTGCGACGGGTGGCTTCTGTAGCTGTTAAGAATGAATGAATGCACCGAAGCGTCAAGCACGCAGCCAGCACACACAAACGAGAGCAGCCCATAGAGCTGCCCGAGACGGATCGTCCATTTGAAACCCCCCACCTGTTTCTGCTTCGCGAATCGAATACGAATCGCGCGCGCGAGGTTGACTGTAATCGTTTTCGCTTCGTTTTCGTCGGAAATCCATACCCCGCTACTCCTGCCTCCGCGTTGACCGTGCGGAATCGGAGCACAGGGCGAGTGGGAGGAAGAAAGCAAGGGTGCATGGTGAGGAAGCTTGTCTTTTGTCTAAACCGTGTTTCTAAGCTCCCATCTTCCTCGTAACAGCCGTGTCGCTCTACAAACAATGTTTGAAGAGGGAGTAGTAGCGCTCACCACTTGAACGAAGTTTCCTCTCCACAATTTAGACAATCCATAATTCGTTGTCTGTATCGTTAGTTTTTAACGTTGGTTGACCTTGAAGCCTGAGAATTGCGCCCGAGAGATGGACACTGCTGTACCCGTTTTTGCCGAGAAGATGAGTGACAATCATGCGTCGTATCTTCCTCTCCTTGTCGACGTTGGCGCTGTAGAGGAGATCAGTGCATGGATCAACGGCCGTTGCCGCACCGAGACTGAGAAAGTATTACATTGGCAGTCAGTTGGCGCGGTCGATGCCAACAACCAAGACACTCGCGAACAACCTGTTTCTCGTGCCGTGCGTGTCGTGGTCTGCACTACTGGCTGTACACTGATGCCGCATCGCACGAAATCGGCTTTCCCCACTCATGGTGGAAACCAAAACATCAAAACCTCAGGTGGAAGAAGTGGCACGAGGACGTCGGAGAGGACGACCTTCACGAGGACATTGTGTCACCGGCAGCTAAGGACGGATACGGCATCTGAACTCTAGCCGCTAACAGCCAGCAGGGTTCGGCACCCAGGTCACCGGCGACAACAACACCTTCTCCCATGATGAAACAAAGTCGGCATCTGACTGACGTCCATCTACGAATTCAGTGGTCGTGGTCGGCGCAGGCCGTGTGTAGGGAATATCGGTCACAACCTGTCGAGTCTCACAACACCACCGGCTGGGGCTTTGCGAAGGCAAGGGCATGATCGACATAAAACCACGGTTTCATACCCGCGCTACGGCGGTGTATTCGAGCAGTTGCCCAACCGTTGTTCATCAAGGCAACGTGAGAAGTGTCGGAAAATAGGACATCATTGGTGCGTTTGTATCTCAGCAGCAACATACGAACTGCATCGTCGCAACACCTGAGCATCAACAACGTCAAGATTTGGCTCCAAGAGGGCTTGACGGGGTTTGGGGGGTTAGGTGGGCCGTCTTGTTTTTCTGCGAGGACTTTTGCGTCTTTCTTTCCTTTTGGTTGTCAGTTCTACTCCCGAGGGTTTTCCTTTGTTGTTTGGTGAAGGCCCCAAGAGGGATGGCATACAAACACGGCACGTGGGTTTGAACGTGTATTCAGGTGGTACTCAATGTTTTACGCGAACGCCCAGTCAATGTATGTAAATACATGGCGCTACATTCAACGTGCAGCGTTAGAGGAGGCATCCCGACTCTGTCGTCCGCTGCTGTTTGTATATGAATGGCCGTCGTCTCCTGGCCGTTGCACGTAAGTGGTCGCTTGAATTTCGAAAGGTCGCGTTTGTCTGTGCTCGGCACGGTAAACCTACCTGTTGTCGCGATGAACAAGGCTTTCGTATATCACGGGAGGCATTTTATGCAGGTCGAATAGCGGAAGTGGGAGCACGGAGACAGCTGATGTAATGGTTCGATTCACCTCTTGCGAACTGACAGAAAGAAATGGGGTTTTCCCACGGGCAAGTTTCCGGGGGTGTTACGGGGGTCTTCGTCACTCTCCAACCTTTGGGGGAGTCTGATCTCCAGACGAGCAAAGCGACACGATGATGGCTTGCTTCCATCGAAGATCAAGGCTCAATATCCGTGGACTGCTGTGTGCATGGGGCTTGATGCTATGCGATCACGGACTACATTAGATGTGGCTTCGTTCTTTTGTCCTCGTCTCAGAGCGTGAAAATCCGTGTGCCAACCGCCCGAGGATTCTTCGAGCAGATCCAACCATCACGGCAACAAGTGGAGCGGACGACCACGGCCAACCGCGTGGGGACCATGCGATCCCTGTAGGCGCCCTAACTTCTGCAAACGCTAGATACACGGGGCAGTAGCATCACTTTCCACCTTCATCACATCATGAATGCCTATATATGCAGCACACACCAGTGGAGGAATCAACGTTGTCAACCCCTGGGCGATGCTGACATACACACACGCGGGGAAGAAAGAAAAAACGTGCTTCGTGACACCTCTTGTGGGCACGGGCTACATACACCAGACACAGTCAGTGCGTGTCTGTGGCAAAGGCTGGGGGGAAACATCTCTTCATTCGACTTGCTCGTTTTTTTTTTTTGGCGCGAGTTTACAGGCTCTCGTCTCGGGGCAAATTCGTGATCGACAAAAAGCTCTCACGGAACCGGCGCGTGGGCAACTCATTTTCTTCTGGCAGCAGACAGAGAGAAAGCACCATCGGACCTTTGGCCCTTGAAGGGTGCGTGGGCACCAGACCAAACCACCCCTTGCGCACTTACTTGTCGTGGTTGCAAACAATACTACAAGCACAACATCGACAAAAAGGCCGCTCCGAAGCCGCTCCGAAGCCGCTCCGAAGCCGCTCCGAAGCGTCTGTGCCCAACGAACGACGTGCCTCAAAGGGTTGACCACATGAGCATCAGTGATTGCCGACACAAGAAAAAGAAATTAACCCAGAAAAAAAGGCGAAAAAAAACACAGGGACACCTCTGGATCCGGAACTGTCACCAGGACGGTCACCCAAACAGACGAGAGCAGCGGTGTCGCAGGCTACGAAAACCCTCACACAAGAAAAGAATGCAAGCCGAGGTGCGGGCACGGTTCGCAAAAAAAGGAAAGTGTACAAGAGTACAGGGAGGGCACCAAGACGAAACGCTAAATATGTTCCGTTGGCAGGATCTTCGTGCTGACTTCTTGGAAGGAGTTTCTTTCGCCGACGTCAGCGTTAGTGTAACGGTGCCAGCGTCCTCTTTTCGTTCTTGGGGAACCCAGCGTGGGCTTCTTTCTAGATTAAAGAATTTCGTACCAGGGGTGTTGAATTTTCTACCATGAACAGCCCCGGCTCCACGCAAAAAAACTACCCGAACAAAACCGTGGTACACTATCTCTTTTGCCAACCGCTCAAGTAGACAGATAGCACCGATTGGGAGGGGGGGGGCACGTACATGCACACAAAATCGACGTGCGTGTTCACTCGTCCCGGCACCCGGAACACCCCTCCCCCCCCCGCGACAAAAAGCACCAATATATTACAACACCCGTCTCACTGAACTGCTCGGGCTTCGTTCGCCGACTCTACCCCATTACAGCACGAAAATAACTCCAACTGCACCGCTTCTCCCACGGCAGCGAAACTGATAAGAGTATAACACTATTCAACAAACGCCCGCCAACGGCATGCGCCCAGCGGACGCCGGGACCTGCCTCTCCCGAGAGCCCTACCCGATTCACGCCCTTGCCACCGAAGAACCACCCTTAGCCGCCTCTCCGGCGCCCTGCTCCTCGTTGGCTTGGTCCGATTGCCGGCGCTTGTGCGGCGGGGGTACATGGGGGGGGAATTCTGCGCCTCCTGATTGATCGCCCACACTGACGCTACCACCCCCGCCCCCGCTACCACTGCCAGCACCGACGCCTCCACCGCCTCCGCCGCCGCCGAAGGGGTTGATGTCGGCGTCCAGTCCCGCNGGGGGGGGGGGGGGGGGGGGGGGGGGGGGGGGGGGGGGGGGGGGGGGGGGGGGGGGGGGGGGGCACAGGGACCGGGAAGCGCAAACACGAAACAAATCGTCTGTGCACGCCCGGTGAAACACATATATCATGCCGTATCACACACAACACACGTAACACGTGTGCACCCATCAAGGGGTCGTATTGGATTACAGTATACAGCACGACTGCACAAGTGCGATGTAGTGTAGGATGTATGCAGGAAAGGTAGACACTGCTGCATATCCTACACGTACATTGCACTTGCGCAGTTGTGCTACGTTCATCGTCAAGCAGGGGGTGGCCGGTGCCAGGCCTTCTGGCTTTACAAGGTCTCTGGTCCAGCCAATCACTTGTCCATGCAGCAGCGCTTCGACCTTGTACCTAAGAGGGTCCTACATTTCCTGAAATCAGGATCCAATTCTGTGGAAAGGAAGAAGCGGTAGGGTATGCCCTGTAACGTCTTCAGACTTGGCAGGTTGACCACATAGCGAACCTCCTTTCATGCTTCATAACAGATATTCACCCAGCTGTCCGGACCATCTCTTATGACGTTTTCCCAACAACGATAGTCATGCTACGATTTGCCCATGACAAGGGACTCACTATTGAGTCTGTCGTGAAGGTTCCCGAGCAAGTCGTCCATACCGCTTCTCCCAGGCGGCCAGATATCTTGGGGGCCGAAAACCGGACTTCCACCACGCTTTGAGACAAGAGCCAAAAGGAAAAGAGGTGGGGGGTTAGATCACGCGCGAACACGGGCGTTGTCACTCGATTGTGCAGAAGCGCTGTCAACGTCAACGAAGAAAAGGCACACACCAAAACCACGCCGAGACCAGACCCTGCCGTTCAGTCTCTCTCCACAGCAGCCCGGCGGACTATTTAGAAGCTCTCTTTTGACTGACGTTATGTGTTGGTCGGCTACCGCCGTCGACATAGAAAACGCAGAGGCGAAAACACCGGGAGTGTGAAGGCCGCAAGACGGCGGCAGACACACCGCATAATGCACCAATGGATGTGCGGCTACAGATGACGAGCTACTTCTGTGCGTATGGCATGGATCTGTCCCGACGGCCTAGGTTGGCTCACCGATTGCTGTGGTGCTCTAGTGCCTGGCACAGATACACCGCCGCCGCCGCCGCCGCCGCTCCCCCCCGGCGACTTGGGTATGTTGCCAGTGTCTCTCTTCGTGATATCGTAGACCTGCTCTGGTCGCAAGCCCGGGCAGTTTCTGAAGACTCGGCGGATGGTTTCGCAGGCGAAGCTGCCATTGTTGCTGCTGCACTCCTTCTGGGAGGACAAGCTGTAGCGGCAGTCCGGGTGATCCTTCATGTCTGGACGAACGGAGCGTGGGATAAGTAAGAAAAGTAGGACACGTGGATGTGTTGTCGGGGAACGGACGGGGGCAAGGAGAAAACGGGTGCTCACGCGCGTCTCCATGTCCCGCCGCGCAGAAAAAATGGAAGGGCAAACGCTAGAGAGTGGCATACCGCCTGTAGGTCCTAGGCCAAGAAGCTTCCAGGAGAGTGCAAGTGATTGCAAGCTCCCTCTTGTAGATCGCAGCTCCCTGCCCATTCGCTTCCACAACCACGAGGGTGCGAAAACCCATCGGAACTTGCAAGGGAAGCTCCCAATCACATAGTTTCCAACACAACCCTTTTTCGGCATTGGCAACCCTCTTGTTTGTGGAGCAAGCGGGTGAAATAGACCTACCAGGTGTGTATGCTCAGTTCATCGCTTTGTCCCGCTTAGCACAGGGTCTAGAAACATGCCTTCTAAGCGGAAGTACTGTAGTGTAGAGTCATTGCCGGAACCATGAAGCATTGACTAGACACAGCTGCGAGACCGGTGTTTACTATGCATGGAACGTGCCGCCTGTTCCGTACCAAGGCGGGCTTTGTCACACGTCCGCCGACGACATGCACAGAGGAGGGCCGTTCATACTATAGTTGTGGCATGATGTAAAACAGCATTAGTTGAGACTACGCATCGTGTTTGGTGTTGAGAACGAGCTTCTTCGAAAAATTAATCACATGCCATTTTCCGGCGATGTTGTGTACCGCACATCAATTGACACGCGCACCTCACCATTGATGTACTCCAAGCATTTCTCAAAGTGCTCCGCGCCTCCCCTCTGAACGCATGGATGTACACATACGTCAAGCAGCACATGTGTAGTCTAGTCTAACCGCACTAGAGCAGAGCCCGGCAATATTTTACTTTCAGTCTACCTTTTCGACTTGCCTTTTTTGACGAAGGCATCGACGTGGGACTTCAGTTCATCATCGTCCGCCATCGCATCGAACGTTTCGTTGGATCAAGAAGCAAAGAAAAGTGAAGTGGAGAGCGTGCGCCTCGTTCGCCATGTGTCCGGCACATACACAACAACCACCTCACTTCGTTGAGGGGCGCCGTGGAATGCAACCGTACCTACGTCTCCCAGTTTGCGCTGCCCCCATGTTCAAGCAAGCCCGGGGAACGAACGGGTAGCGCTGAGCGGGGAGCATGCACATGTGCTGCCGCCTATGGGGCACGCCATCGGATACACCGGTCCTTGCTGCCGTACATGCGATTATTGATGGGAAATGAAGTCGGAAGACAATCCGGGGCATCTGCTAGAGATGAGAGAATCTTGCCCCGCCTTCTTCGCCGAAGCGGCGGGATTCTCGCTAGCGGCGGCGGGGTGGGCTGCGATGGCGACAGCAACGAGCGCAAGACGTTTCGACAGCTCTACATGCTGCAGGGTCGGATCGGTGAGAACCTGGGAGAGAAAAGGCTGGGAGCATGTCTTCGGTGATATTCGATTGGTTCGGTAAAATTTCAACGGTCCACCACACAACGACAGATGTTCGCCGGCTCTCAGCTTTGACTCATCGGCCTGCCCACCGTTAATCGCGTACAACCGGAGCATGTCAGCCTGTCCCGTAGCACCGGCTGGTTGTTTGGATAGCAAGTGGGACGCATATATTTTCCAGCTTTCGGGCTTACAGTACAATATGCGAAGTTCATCATGTTGCTTACGCTGCTTTTCTCGTCGGCCGCGGGAACCTTGGAGGGTGCTTTCTACTGGTGTTTTCCTCTTTTCCCAAGAGACTGGCAGCGGTACACCCTCTCTGAGAATTGTCGCCACTCGCTCACCCAAACAAAGCGCCATTACTAGACACGTGGACACCTGGAGGTGCCGCTACGGCAGTGTTTAATATATAATTTCCTCTCGACTATGATCTGATGCTAGCAGTTCTTCCGGTCTCGCCTAGTTTACTGAAGAGGTCCGAAATGGCGATATTCACCATCTCCGTATACTGTTTTACGTAATCAACCGAGAAGAGGTTACTTGTAGGGCGCTCAGAAAGGTCGGTGTCCTTGGGAATTTCTGGAACGTTCAAGGAAACGAAAGACAGACGCCTGTGGATGACAGGTGTAGAAGTGCTGTAACCATTGTTGTTGCACATACAAAAGTAGGACCAAGATACGATCCGAACGGAGGATCTTACTGATGGTTGATCAGCAAGAGACCCGACTGTGGATGCGTCCCTCTTGGCGCCACCTGTGGAGCTTGGGAATCCGAGATCCTCGGGCTTGGTCTCCCTCGCCCCTTCGGCGGCACTCTCTCTTTCTTGTCTCTCTCTTCTGAGACCCTCTCCTCTCTAAATCTCGACGAAGAGAACTGCCAGCCTTAGGGAGTGGGAAAAGACTACTGCGACCTGGGCCTTCCCCCTAACAAGGGAAGCCTGTGTCCTCATTGGCGTCGACGAATTAAAAGATACTCTGCTAGTACTGGAGGTAGAGGTGAGATGCCAAAAAAATCAGCCGTGCAACGCGCTCGCGATAAGGCGGACGCGGCGGAGGTGTGCTGCTGTACAACTCCATGCGTGCAGGTTCGGGGTTTTGTTTCTATCATCCCCGGGTCGAAGAGACCGGGCTGACCGAGCACAAATATGAGAAATGATCATTTCCAGTGATCACAAAATTCCCGTTGGAGTCCCAGAAGGGTTAAAACCCGCAGGCCTACCCAAAGATCTTGTTTTCTCAGGGGCACCAGGACAAGGTATTGTAGAACTTTTGGCGCAATACCGTGCACGTGTGAAACTGAACTCAGTCGACAACTGCCCTGACCATGTAGTCGACCAACGTGCTGTGCGATACCTCCCGCTTCTTCTGCGAGGGGCTGCGTACGATACCCTGTTGCAGTTGACCAAGGGAACGCTCGAGTGGCGTAACGCAGAACAGTTTGCTGAGCTTCGTGCAAAGGGTGCAAGTACTCGGCCGGTGGCTCCTTCCTCCTGGGCCGAATACTGTCACGCCCTTTACTTTCAGTTCTCCGCTCATAACCGCATTTCCATTTTGGCCCGACAAGTTGCCACTTTGGAACAGGCAGTAGATCAGTCCGGCCCTTCAAGGTACCCCTCGCCCCAAGGGAGCAGGACCACCGATGCAACAGTAGTTGAGAGGAATGAGGTAGCGCGAGATGCCGTACTTTGCGCAACTAATGTTGCCATGAAGGGTGGAAAAACGAGGGATTGCATGTTGCATCGGGCACGAGAAGTGGATAGAACTTCAGGCCGAGTTTTTGATAGGAATAATTCTGTTACACGTAAGGAGTTTGTGGAATCGGTTGCTTCTCCTCTGGTAGCAGAAACACTTAGCAAGGCACCAAGCAAGGGACTATTTTTCAGTAGTGCAGGGCAGCGTCGAAGAGGGAAAAAGACTAGTATCAGACCCTTAGCAGTAGCCCCTCAAGTACGACATGTTCCGCGTGGAGAGCCTTTGAATATAATAATTAAACCCTGTGGGTTTTCGCGTGCGTTGCGTCGTGGTTCACGATTTGCAGCTTTTCACGCATCTGCGTTGAGTAAATATCCGAAATTTCCAACTGCATTAGATTCCACATCGAAACGGGTACATATTCCCGCTCGAGTGAACAACCACCCTGTGTCTGAAATCACAATCGACACAGCCGCTGATGTACCTTGTGTTTCAGCGACATTTTAGCAGGAGCACCCCACACTAAAAAATAAAACGCATTGTCCAGTTCCACCTGGAGCGATACAATTAAAAAGTGCTGACGGGTCACCTCTTGAAATTTTGGGATACCTACGGTTCAATCTCACACTAGGCGATATCACGTTGCCAGTAGAAGCATTGGTTTTACCGAACCTGGGTCCTGATAACATGTTGCTAGATAACAGCATCATGAATGCCTTTGGCGCCATTTTAGACTGGTGTGGTGAAGAATCATCTTTCAAAAATTCCGTGCTGAAAATACCCGCAACCCACCGTCGAACACGGGATCTAACACATCCACATGACAGTGCATCAGCACAAGTTTCCGTTGTGGCACTTGACCCGTCCGAAGGAGCCGTGCCAGTATATCTTTGTAGGAAGTACTGCGTTCCTCCGAAACATGAAATGGCCGTTGATGTCGTGACTAGCCACGCCCCAAAGGAGACTACTCCTGCATGCAGTAGTTGAGCCACGAATTATCACTTACTGCCGACGATAGATATTGAATCATCTGATGATACCCCTCGAGCATTCCGTCACATCGTTGTCGCGCGAACAGTCTGTAACTGGTCTGCAATCGAAAAGACAGCGATGGTCCAGATAGCTAACCCGTCTGATAGACATGTTCACCTGGATCGGGATACTATACCCTAATATATATAATAAAATGATGTATATATATGAGATATATATGAAATATGAAATATATCCTAATTTAAGACGGTGTCTGAAAAAACGATTAGCGCCGTCAACGATGATCATCAGACTTTTAGGAAAAAGAGAGATGAATTGAACAAGGCGATGAAGAAAGCGTTTACGGATACCACATTCTCGCCCCAACAATGCTCTCAAGTTCTCGATTTATGTGCCCGGTACGGGAATGTGTTTTCCCTATCGCCGAAGGAACTGGGGAAATGCACCTTGACCGAGGCAGAGTTTCCGCTCGAGCCCGGTACAAAACCAGTTGATCGGGCACCGTACTGTGCAAACCCACGAGCACAAGAAGTGATCGATAAATGTACAGCACAAATGGAAGCTGATGATATCATTGAACAGCGACCGAGTTCTTGGGGATCGGCGGTTACTACCCCTCGATTCTGTGTGGATTATCGCGGTACCATTAATAAGAGTTTAATCCGAAAGTCGTGGCCTACGCCCGATATTAATGCCCACATTGATACAGTAGGTGGAGCAAAGTTTATCACTGTGTTTGACGTGCAGAGCGCGTACCACCAGATACCCGTTGCAGCAGCGGAGCAAGAGAAGACCGCCTTTGTAACTCAAAAAGGAAAATGGGTTTTTAAACGTCTCCCTTTTGGAATTGCGAACGCCCCGTTTTTATTTGCTCGCATGATGTCATAAGCATTTGCACATTTTGGACCCCGAAGTGGCCTCCTTGTTTACATGGACGACATCATTTTTTGCAGTAGTTCGACTTGGGAAAGTCATCTAACATTGTTTGAAAATACATTTCAAGCCCTTCAAGCCGCAGGGCTCACATTCAAACCTTCCAAGGTACAATTCGGGCCAAGGGAAGCAAAATATTTAGGTCACATTTTGTCTGCGAAAGGTATTCGAATCGGAGACGACCGACCGCATTATTAAAGCTATTGTTGACCTGCCCGCTCCTAAAACGATCAAAGAACTCCGTTCAGTTTTAGGCATGATAAATTTTGTGAGGAAATTTCTCCCCGATTTGTCCACGGTGATAGCGCCGTTGGTAGACCTCACTAAAAAAGAACACGTGAAATCGATTGCAAAACGTTGGCGAAACGAACATTATGAGGCGTTTGCGACAGTCAAACGACTGCTCACGGAAGGAAGCACCTATTTTACACTTTCGCGATTTTACAAAAGACTTCGTCGTGCACGTGGATGCCAGCGAAGCAGGTGCTGGAGCTTTCCTCGCGCAGCAAACAGGAGATGACCTCAACATTATTGCGTATTTCAGCCAACGATTCAACAATGCTCAGCGCCCATATTCCCCAACCATGAAAGAATGTTACGCCGTCGTACTAGCAATACAGCACTGGCGGCCCTATTTATGGGGCAGACATTTTGAAGTTGTGACGGACCATGCTGCGTTGAGATACTTGTACACCATGCAGGACACTTCAAATATGCTGACTAGGTGGGCTATCGCTCTGCAGTCGTTTGACTTTACCGTGCGACACAAGCCGGGGAGGTTACACGTTGTTCCGGACACCTTATCTCGGTTGTTTGCTTTTGAGTACCAGCAACACTTAGAAGCCCCGAAACTAACACCGATTTGTAGGAATGTCCCCAAGGATCCTGCTCTGCATGTAGCTGTACCGAACAGACCTTATCAAGTGACAACAGACCGCCTGGAAGATTTAATACCAGTGCAAAGTGATAGCGAATTGTTTACCATTAATTCGGTTTACATCAGCGCGATCCACGTTTGTTTGTGAAACGATGAACCGAGACATCTTGCGAAAAAAACAAGCAGCCGAGTATGGGAAGTACATCGACTATCTTGTGGGGGAAAACGCACGAGTGCCGGACAACGAAACAGCAACAACCATGTCCTATTATTTTGTACGAGACGGATTGCTGTTCAAATCGTATTTACCAGGTTACCTCAGGAAACGGAGTACTTTCACTGATCAATTAGTATTGCCGCAAGCTCTCACGGGCTTAGTTTTGCACGCTTACCATGATCACGTTTTGTCCGGAGGTCACCTAGCATCTAGACCGACTTATGACAAGATCCGCCAGAAATATTGGTGGCCGAACATGAGTCGTGACGTTCGCACTTGGTGTCAGGAGTGCCAAGCATGCCAACGTTGGAAATGTCAGCGATATTTCGCTGTGATCTAGCAGCAGCACGATGCTGCAGATACCAGGAGGCTGTGAAGCCTACCTCAGAGGTTCACACTCTGTGCGGCTCCAACCGCGAGAGACTTGGAATGGAAATATGAAGATTAATTGGTGACTCCCGAGTCAGATTGATGTTACTGGTACTGAAGAGGAGTGAGAGGAGTGGGCGAGCTTAGGGCTGCACCACTCTTCTCGAAT